AACCAGTCGTGTCGGTCAAAGGGAGGCTCGGTCCTGTGGGTGACGTTAGCATTCCGTTGAAGAAGGGTTTGAGAACTGAGGGGTACGCACTCAAACTTTGATGGGTAGAGCCAGCCGGCAACCTGCCACATGACAGCCTTGGGCGTCATGTCCTTTGGACGCCCTTGGAACCTAATGAGCGTCGGGGGCGTCTCGCTGCCGTCCTTCAGCCTCTCGACCATATCCTCCGAGTTCTCCTCGCCGCGCTTGCACGCCTGCCAGCCCCGGTACAGACCCTTGCCGAAGCGCTCCTCCCAGCTGACAATCTCAGCCCAAGCGCCCTCGTTCAAGAAGTTGTGCACCGAGACCATGGATTCGACGGCCGTGATATCGGTGTCGGTATACCCTTTGCGGAGGAGGGCGTTGTACATCTGCTGAGGAGAGGGATACTCCCAGTTACCGTCGCCGGAGCCCCTGGGTATCGTCGAGGGCTCTCTCTCCGTGGGCAGCGCGACGGCCTGGTTCTCGGCGGGTGCCTGGGAGATTTCCTTGAACATGTAGTTTAGGGGGTTGATTTGCTGGAGGAAGCCCTTGGACTCGGCGGGCTTTGGTGCGTCGTGGGGCACTGGGCATGATGCTGGCGGTGCTGCCGCGGCGGAGTGTCGTTGATCGTGGGGAACGGGGCATGCTGAGGGGGGAGGAGGAGCTGCTGCTGCGTGGCGCTGGTCGTGAGGAACTGGGCAGGCGGAGGGAGGAGCGGGTGCGGCGGGCTTCGCGGTCGTTAACGCATCGGCAGACTTTTGGTGCATCGGGCAACTGGGCTGAGAGATGTTAAATGATGCCACCTGTTGGTTGGATCGGTTTTTGGACATACAGGAGGAGAGCCGGAGGGGATAGCGCCATGAGGATGCGATGAGGCGAACGTCGCGTGGACGGTTGTCGCAGGAGCATCGGCCCAGAACCAACCCATGATTGTACAGTTGAAGAGATTAGGTAAAATAGATAAGTCGTAAGAGCAAGCAATGAATTGTACAAGAAGGCAGGGTGAACGCGACGAGTACACGAAAGAAGTGGTGAAGTTGGTTGAAGGTATCGCGAATTGAGCTTGGGAAGGGAAAAAAAGATTTACGGTTTGGGTGACGGAATCGACGATAAGAGAAAAAATAGAGCGTGGAAAGACGGCGAGGTTCCACGGTGGGCTCTTAGCATCCGTAATCGACGGGACCGTAGTGGCTCACTGTCTATGCCTTGCCCGTTGAGAAGAAAGGAAAAAAAGCATCCCCTGCAGAACAGCGTTGTCACCATCGGACAGACCCGCGACAGCTTTCCGACTTCAACCCGCGACGCCTAACCAATTGCTGCACGCAATACAGTACACTCACATAGGTATCTGTCAGTGCATGTGCAGAGTGCTAAAAATGCGAGTGTCATTGAACCGAGTGGCACATGATCCCCCGAAGATTCCCCGCCGCAGCTAAAGGAAGATACCCACCGGTGCCACCAAAAATCCCTACGTCACCACCCAATGGCACCAAAAACGCCCTATTCCATTCGCATTCGTCCGTCACCCCGTGGTCCCCGATCCCGCGATCCTGGGCGCCGCGCGACTTCACCTCTCTTTCGCGCCGTCCCTCCCCTCCCCCACCGAACGAGCTCACCTTCATAATCTACCTTCCTGAGAACATGACACCGGTCCTCCGATCATCAACCCCCGATCCTCCCTCGAGATGAGACTGGCCTTCATCCTGGGCCGGTTTTGTCCACGTCCGGCCTTCCGAGCTCCAGCGCCGAACGGCACCACCACCGCCCAATTCTACTCCACATTCAGGAGCACCTTCCGGAGCTCCTACCAACCGAGACGGATACCATGGCGAGCCGGCGGCAGCGGCAGTAGCAGTAGATACACGAGATATACGCTCCGAGCCGGCGGAGCAGGTGCCGGTGCACTCGGCACTGCCGCCTTCTTCGAGCTCTCGGAGAAGGATAATGGAGGCACCGACCAGACGGGCGAGAAGCGCATGCTGGAGGTCAGCCGAGCTGAGATCAAGAAGAAGGTTGCCGACGACGATAGCGGGATCTCGAGGGCGTGGCATACGTTGAAGATAGCTGTGGACGTGTATATTTGGGAGCCCTTGTGCACTGGCGTCCGATTTCTCCATCTGCTCGTCATCTTTGTTCCCGTCATCGTCGCCGTTCCTGCTCTGTGGCTCGGTAGGCGGCAGAAAGATCGCGACAACGAGAGGAGCGGGACGCTATGGTGGTACGGCTTCTTGGTCCAGTCCATGGAATGGGCTGGCCCAGCTTTCATCAAGGTACCGTTCAATGAGCAACCTCAATTCCGAATGGAGACGATGTCACTAACACCACGCAGCTCGGTCAATGGGCCGCCTCTCGCTCCGACATCTTCCCCAACGAAATGTGCGAAATCATGTCCAAACTCCACTCCAACGCCCCGGCGCACTCCATGCACGACACCAAGCGCATCGTCTCCGCTGCCTTTGACGGACGCGACTTCAACGACATTTTCGAAGAATTCGACGAAAAGCCCCTCGGCGTCGGCGCCATCGCACAGGTCTACCGAGCAAAGCTCAAGGCCAGTCTCGCGGCCCCTGGCGACGCCGACCTTCCGGAAGAACCCAGGCCACTCCGTCACAAGGTCGCAAAGAACGTCGATGCTGCCCTCAAAAGCACTCCGAAGAGGGTTCCCTCCACCTACGTCGCTGTCAAGGTCCTACATCCTCGCGTCGAGAGGACCGTCCGCCGAGATCTACGCATCATGCACTTTTTCGCCTCCGCGCTCAACGTTATACCCACCATCGAATGGCTCTCCCTCCCCGATGAGGTCGCGCAGTTTGGCGAGATGATGAAGCTCCAGCTTGACCTCCGCATCGAGGCCGCCAATCTCGCCAAGTTCCGCAAGAACTTCAAGGACCGCACGACGGCATGGTTCCCATACCCGTACACAGAGTTTACCACCCGCAACGTGTTAGTCGAAGAGTTTGCGCAGGGCATCCCGCTTGCCGACTTTATGGAGAACGGCGGCGGCGTCTTCCAGCACGATATCGCCTCCGAGGGCCTTGATGCTTTTCTGCGCATGCTCCTGATTGACAACTTTGTCCACGCCGACCTGCACCCAGGTAACATCATGGTCCGCTTCTACCAATCCCACGAGCCGGACCTTAAGTTCCGCAGGAATCACGCCAAGGAACACCCTGAAGATCAAGACGACGTCACAGAGCAGGTCCTCGCTCGCCTGCGGCCCTACCGCCATAGGAAGGACCCTGCTGCCTGGGCGGCCGAGCTGCGCAAGATTGACAATGAGGGATTCCGCCCACAACTCATCTTCATCGACACGGGTCTGGTGACGGAGCTCAACGAGACGAATCGCACAAATTTCCTCGACCTCTTCAGGGCTGTAGCAGAGTTTGATGGGTACAAGGCCGGTAACCTTATGTGCGAGCGCTGCCGCCAACCTGACGCCGTGCTCGACAAGGAGGTGTTTGCGCTCAAGATGCAGCACCTAGTTCTCGGCGTCAAGAGCCGCACCCTCGCGCTGGGTAACATCAAGATTGGTGACATCCTGCAGGAGGTTTTGGGTATGGTCCGCGGGCACCACGTTCGTCTCGAGGGTGATTTCGTCAACGTCGTCATCAGTATCCTGCTGCTCGAGGGCATCGGGCGCAGTCTGAACCCGGATATGGACCTTCTCAGCAGCTCCCTGCCTATCCTCCGGCAGCTCAGCGCGCAGAGCGGTGCCGAGATGGCGAAGCATGGTGACTTCAGCATGCTGGTTGTGTGGGCTGGCCTGGAGACCCGGCGGTTCTTGCAGGCGAGCATTGAAGATGTGAGTAGTGACTGGGTTATTGTTGATGGCGTACCTTTGCTAACGATCCCTAGGTTGAACGTTGCGTTAAATATGATCTCCTTGCACCGAATGTGTAATGTAAACTGTACAGTACTTATAAATGATTGCATGGGTTGGCGCTCTAGATGGGGCATGGTAGAGATACATCTCGTAGAGCAGAGACCTCGAATACACGCCAGATTTAATTTGTTGCCAAACAGTGATGCATTACTCTTTGCTATGTGTCCGTCTCATAGCCACCAGAGCATGCGAGGCGAATGATGTCGCTGCTGATCAGTGGCACTGACGACGCCGGTATTCCTCAAGGGCTGGAAGCATGGGCAGCTCACGTCGGTAGAGTCATCGGTTGGGGCCAGCTTGAACATCTGGCCGAAGGAGTTGGTGATCGTTCTTGACGAACACCCAACAGGGTAAGCATGGATCTTGCGAACCCGAGGTAGACCTTACTTCTGACAGTATAAACTGCTGGATACTTGACTACAGTGTCTTCATGGACGGAAGCAAGCCCAGAAGAGTGAGGATTGCGGGATTCGCCACCTGGTTGGCAGTCGCTGTTCTTGTCGACCGTCGGGTCCCGTAGGACAGGCATTGAGATCATGTTTTCGCGATGTAGATGCTCGGCGCCGGCGGATCATTTTGAGGCAATCGAGATACGTGAGCCTTCACAACATATCCACGGTGGCCTCAGGAAGTCAAAGTACGTACCCTAATTGAAGGTAGTGGAAGTAGAGGAAGGTGCAGGGTATCACCGAAGGTCAGTATTCGGGCAGGTCCTAACCGGACGTCCCAAGGTGAAGTCGCTCCTGCCACTCTCACGGAGACCACTCCCCTTTCCCACTTTTTACTTCACCTCAGTTTCGCGACAATTCGACCGCCTCATTTCTCTTCCCCCAAACCTCTTCGCAGATTTTCTCTTTTTCTAATCTTGGAAGAGGACACGCGACAACCTCATTTCCGACAATATTTCTCTCCTTTCCATCACCAATGATGACAGGGAAACAATAGCAAGCATCGCTCCTCTCCGTCGCATACCCTCGACCTTGCTTCGCTAATCCATTTCCCTCATCACCTCCTCACCTCCTTGCCTCCCCTCTCATCAACGCTTTCTGCTGGACATTCTTCCAATTGCTGATTCAGACCGAACGACATCGCGGCCATGCAAATCACCGTTAACAAAGGCTGCTGGCGACGCTGGGCGGACGTTATCCGCCATCTTGCCCGAGAGTACGGATTCCCGGCCAAGACGCGTTCAGAACTCGAACTCTTCTTGTCAATGTACAGAGGAAAGGGAAGCACTTATCGCACCTCTACGACCCATTGGAGGTTCATCATCGATGTCACCCGCGACGACAAGGCCATTATCAACATCATTGCGATCACTATCATCGCCCGACACAAACAGGACGAGAATAACAATGGCGCTGTCATTACCCGCGCATGCGACGTCCATCCCGATCCAGAGGGCGGCGAGTACGTCGGAGCTCCACATCTGAGATGGATTACGGTCAAGAGTGGTGGCGAGACTTACAGGCACTGTTGCGACAAGGAATGCAGTGGCCCGGAGCAGCTCGTTGCCAAAACGCGTGCCAACTGGGAAACAACTCGGCTTCGAGTGATTCAGAAGGCGTACGAACAGGAAGTCTTGGCAAGCTATGCCTCCTTCCAGATATTGCAGGTGGAGAAGCAGGGGCTCACCGAAACATTGGAAGGCAAGGATTCGGACGGCAGCTTCTCCGATCTCCAGATGAAGGTTCGGCAACTGGAGACAGACCTCATCGCCAAGAAGCAAGCCGCCAAAAAATCCAAGGACAGTGCAAAGCAGAGGAAGATGGAGCTAGCGGAGTCTGCTGAACAGGTCGAATCTCTGCGCCAAGCTTTGGAAGCAGTCGAAGCAGAGAACAAAACGCTTGTGACTGTGAAGAACGAACTGGCTCTTGCGGTCGATGCAAACCGTCGCACGAAGGAAGCCCTCCAGTCTGACATGAAGGACTTGCATGAGAGCAATGCCACGCTAAAGGAACAGAATGCTGAGATGGGAAGAACGGCGTTGAACCTCCAGACCAAGGTCACGCGCTTGAGCTCTGAGAAACAGCAAGTCGGCAAAGAAGTCACCAAGTTGAAGAGGGAGATGCGTACTCGAGGGCAGAGCTTGGCTGTGGCAAGGAAGGCCTTGACTCAGGCCAAAGAGGAACTTAAGGACACCAAGAAAGTGTTGCAATCTGTCAGTGACAAGGCTGCAGCAAGCCGTGCTCACTCCATTGCACAGCTTCGAACCCAGACTGCCAATCTTGAGGAGAGCACGGCCGAACCGAGCGACAATATACCAACCATGAAGTGGAGACCCAGCCACGATTACATACGCATAAATATGATCCTCGACAAGACCCAAAAGGACTTAGCTGAAAGAATTGACGCCCATACCACGGAGATCCGGCAGTTCAAGGAAGAGTTGAAGCAAAAGGATGAGTTCATCGGCCGCATTCAGGATGAAATGGCAGATCTTCAGCGGACTCAGGGGTCCATGTCCTCTCATCGCCAACCGGAGATCAAACACGAGCCTCAAGACGTCGACCTTATGAACCTGGACACGGAGGCAATGAAGCTTGAGTTGGAGCCGAGAAGACCAAGGCGAGAATCCAGATGGCAGAGACGGCCGCCGGAAAGGCCGAGGTGGAGGCGCTGGCGAAGAACTGCGCCGATAGAATGAAGGCCGCAGAAGTGAAGGAAGCGTACACGGCAAACATGGAAAAGCAGTTGGAGGAGATGAGGGGCGCGTGTCGGTCTATCAGGGCAAGAAGCGTCGCCGAACGGAGGGACCAGATTTCTAGCTGTGAGGAATTTTGGACTTGCTTGGACTTTGGTCTTGTATATGGACTCGGGGGGTCGAGCTTGCTGAAGAGGATCAGGTACCAGGATATTTCCTAGAGCCGTGATTTGGGTGGACTTGGACTCTTCTTCGCCGGATTTGCGGCACTGTGGGATAATTCAGACTTGGAACAATGGTAAACGGACCTGGGGAATAGCCCCTTCCCTTACATGCAGAATCTTTCAGTAGACCAGCTCCATGCCCAGAACAGTGAAGTCACATCAAGCTACCAGAAGTCGAACCGTAAAAGTCATGAATATCTGGGCGAAGGAGCTGGTAATGCTTCTTGTTCAACATTCAACTCGGTAAGCGTGAATCCTGCGAGCCTGATTTGGGCCTCGTTTTTGGCTAAATGACTTCCTAGATACTTGCCTGTGGAGGTCTTGTCAATTTTTCCATGTTCAGATGCTTCAGGGAATAGCAAGTGTGATCTCCCCCTGTGTATTTGTCCCCCTTATTAGCCATCCCGATGGCAAAAGAGCAGTCATGATGATGTCGTCCACGGTGTCAAGTGCCTCCGTTTGGTGTTGTCTCTTAGAAAGAACCGTTTAAGGCCGTTGATGAGGTGGTCAGGAAGGTGAGGAGGGGCCAAAGATAGTCGAATGTGCTGAGTAGGCATCCTTGGTGCAGGCGCAAGCACTTCGATGGAAAGTGAGGCCGAGTCCCTAGGTTCTTCCTCGTCAACGATGGTATTCGCCTTTTTACTTCACCCGCGCATAGAGCAGCCATCGCTCCTTCCCACTCGCTTTCTCACAACACTACCAGAGTAGTCTTTTCCGAATCCCCCTTGGGAGCCTCTGCCTGATTCTTCTTTGCACCTCCCATCTCAAACCTTCCTCACTTCGCCGTATTGTGAGGGCATTCGGAATTTTCAACGCCACTGCCGGTTCTTGCTTCACTTTCCCCCATCACCTACCTCTCGATTGCATAGACGTCTATTGCATCTTTGTACCTTGTACAAGGGCGAGCACGATCCGGTCCCTCTACTTCTTCTTTCGTTTTCATCACCAAGCTTTCCCGCCTCCTTGGCTCCGGCCTCGCCTCGTGATACAAACCTCCATCCCCGACGTATTCAGCTGGCAATAAATCCACGTCACTGAAGAGTGTGTGGAGAGAAGCACGATCGAGGATCTGATGAAATCAATCGAAGCAAATACCAAGCAACAGTCGACTTTCATGCTTGAGATCCGCAACATTCTGAAAGAACTCTCCCACCAACAAGATATGATGAACAACCGACTGGAAACAATGACTGGGAAGATCGATGTCCTTGTAAAGGCTTCTCAAGAATCATTTTGGAACCGTAAACTGGCCTAGATGGCCTCGGCTCCGAGAGTGGGTTTTCCTTATCTTGTTTTAAGCATCTTGCTAACATCTCTTTCAGGTATTCATCTCAGCGGGGGGGTTGTCATGGCTGATGGCGCGTATCCGCCCACCGAGTCCCGATGATGACTTTACGCGTATGACCTGAGCAGCACAGCAGCAAAGAGTTATGGCAGTTGAAGTAGGCCTTCTCGGGGTAGCAAGACACCGTTTCAAGTAGCGGTTATAATAAATCCATCTCGTACCCAATGCACGAACTGCAATACCAAACACCCTCAACGCCATCCGACCATGCACCTAAGCAATGCAAAGAATTCTCCCAAAACACCTCCCAATATCAACCTAAACAGAAGCCTCAACCCTTTGCGGTCCCTCCTCCTTCTCCGTCTTGCCCTCAGAGACCTTCATCCCCTCCACCCCCGCCGAGATCCCTGTAAACGGACAGACCCCTCCACTGCCAGGACTATTCGGCCTCCTCGTAGGTAACCTACTCGGCGACTTCGGCCCATTACCACCAGGAACCCCATTAACAGCAGTCTCCTCATCACTCTCGCTCTCCAGAATCTTCTTTCCGTGAAGGTAGCCCTCCTCCTCAATCTCGATCCCCTCTCCATCCTCGTCGCCCTCGCGCTGGAACTCTGCGCCGTCTTTGCAGTGCCACTTCGCCATGAGGTCGTTCTGGATCCAGATGACTTTTCCCAGGGCTTTGACGAGGGCGATCTTCTTCTGCATCACCATGCGCGGGTGGGACAGGATGGCTTCGGTCATGATGTCTTGGATGAAGGAGAGGCAGGCGCCGAGGTGGATGTATTCTACGTTGAGGGGGTGTTTGCGGCCTAGGCCTACGTGCATCATTCTGTTGTGTCGTTAGCTGTCTGTTGTCTCTTGCCAACGGCGCATCAAAGTCTACAGGGATAGAGGTAGACCGTAGGAGACAGAATTACATACCCAACCTTGTCGAGATACTCCCAAAACTCCATCTTGCTCGGATCAGAGCACAGCTTCGCCAGATACGCCCTGAGGAACATCTTGCGGTGCAGAATCTGCGGTGAGTTGTCGTCGGGGACCTCGTCCATGGGGCCCTCGAAGGAGGTGGAGCGGGTGGTGAAGGCGCGGGCGGTGATGTCGTACTGCAGCAGCTTGTGGTAGACGATGTTGACGACGGCGGGGATGAGGGCCTTGACGTATTTCGCGCCGTGGATGAGGGCCTCGATGTCTTCTGTAAGTGGGGTTGGTCAGTAGACGTATCCTGAGTTGGTGTTTGCTGTTCGGAAGAAGGTGACCAGAGAGACGTACTGCTGCTGAAGTCGAGAAAGCTGTGGAGGTAGCGGATGCGGGCTTCGAGGTCTGTGTAGAGTTCCTCGCGGTCGATGTGGTTCATGTGCCTCATGAGACCCATCTTGGCGGTTTCTTCGCTATGGCGGGGACGAGACTTGTGGTGTTCTTGGTGTTGGTGTTTGAAGATTCCCAATGCTAGTCGAATCCCTCGGAAGTATCGATAGAAACAAACTCGCTTCAAAGCTGTCGAATCCTTTACACAGTGGTGATCGTCGTCTTGTCGGTTTGGTAATGCTCGAATCGTGAATGGTTCTTCTCAATGTCCCTCTTCACCCTCTCCAAACGCGTCAGAAAAAGGGGACCCCGCGATATTTGAATAAGACGGAAAAGGGTCCCCATCTAACCGGTCATTAACGGGACGACATTCCTTCGCAAGACTTCAACCATTGTCCCTGCGTCATCATGCGCCGAGAAGAATTCAATGACCTGATCCCTCATTGACTTGCAAAGTTGCGTGGTCCAGTCTCTATCGTCGGGCAGAGGGCCAACCGGCCGATGGTGGTCTGATGTTCTAGTTCGTGCCAAAGTCGCACCACTTTCTGGTCTACCCTGACGGGTGCCGACCAGGGGAGCTGGGCAGAGCTGAGCAGAGCGCCGTAGAGCCAGGCTGGCGGGCGGGATCCACCGCGGGTGAATTTAGCGGGGTGGATGTGTAGGGCGATCCGCCGCAGGACGCCGGTGCGACCGTGTGATTCTTCAGTTCTTGGGAATTCTGAGGCTGGCAGGCTGCCCCGGCGGGACCGAGAACTCCCGCGATGCAAGGGTCCGCCGCTCTTGTTTTCGCATCGACTGATTCTTGTCGTGTTGGTCAGATGGGAAAATCTGGGTCGACTGCGGTTGGTTGGGACTGGGACGCACGAGTGGATCTGTCTTCTAACTTTGATGGTTACTGGTCAGTCAGTCAGGTTGGGTGGCAGCTGGTTCCTGGATTGTTTTCTGGGGAAATTGGGACGAAAGTTTACCGGTGACATGCGCGTTTCCTCTCATTCCGAGATCGCCATTGCACCTGTCAACCCATCAGCCCGTGATGGCAGGTTCCTAAGTCAAGGGTCCAGAAGAATAAGGAATGCGATTTGATTCAGTTGCTTAGGTTTCAGGGCTGCTGTTGTTCGCCAGTGTTTCCGCCAAGCATGAAAGACTTTGAACGTACATTTTTTCGTCCGCTCACTGTCTTGTTTCCTTCTTCAGGGTCCAGTTTGATGTTCATTTTTGTTCCGGCGTGTCGTTATCATAAACATCTCGTCCAGCCGCGCGCATCATCCCAATCTGAAGCATGGCATCTCCCATCCTCCAGCATCACTTCTTCTCCCCCTCCTCACCCTTCTTGTGCTCGCCCTTCACCTCCGTCGAACCCCCACCACCACCACTCGTCTTTCCCTTCTCCCCACCCTCCTTCTGCGCCTGCCTAGCAGCATCCATCACCATCGTCTTCCTTGACGCCTCCCGCTCTTCAGCAGAGACGTTCTGGCTCGCTGCCTTGGCCTTGAGCATGTGTGGTGGTATGAAGCCCATGGCCGGCTTCCGGTGTGTTAATGTAGGTAGGCGCGGTATCTTGGTGATATTATCACAGGGAATGTTGAGAGCTTGAATTGTGGTCTTTTCTTTTGAGTAAGCTGAGGTTTACGTGCCCTTGTGAGTTTGGGAATTTGATGCCTTCTTGGTTGGAAAATGTGTAGATGAGACGTCGTTGAGGGGAGCGACGGTGTTGAGGTTGTAAATGATGATGTAATCGGACAAAGGTACCGAAAGACAACTCGGCGCGGGGCACGGCAGGGACGGGACAGAGGGGTATCGCAGCTCAAGGTCATTTGGCAAGCGCGAGTGTCCATGCCTGTGCCTCCTACCACACAAGCGACTGCTTACCTACCTGAGGTACTTTTCAGGTACCACCCCAAGAAAGCCGTGCAAGGGGATTGCGAATGTTGTGATACCGCAGTCTCACGCCCGCCGGCAACATTCATCGCAAACGTGCATGAAGTGCTTACTCAAGTAGTCAAGATGATCGTCACATTGCTGTCCTGAGCAGCCATATTGTCTAGGTATCTACCATAGTTCTTTCCTACACATGGAACTCATCTTCCAATCCGCCTACACGCCCAGACACAAAATCAAAGAACCTCCCAAAGTCACGCTTCCCAAGCAACACCTCAAGCCTCAACAGAAATAGTCCCATCCGTCCC